ATGCTGAAAGGAAAAACTAAAAGTTTGCCACAGAGAACCTGGAGCAGTTCTCTAGTACTCCAGGGTCTGTCATGGACAATACAGCAGTGCTATTCAAGCCACTGTAGCATTCTGTTTTTAGAAGCTTTTATGCCTATTTGTATCTTTTTGCTAGGCCATTTGAAATTAGTTATTTAAGGCACATGACTTTGTTTAAGTTCTAGTTTTTCATTCCTCTTAAATAGTCTTTGCAGCCATTTTGCGCTCCTGCCTTTTGATTATTAATATAATTCAGCCTTTTGTTTATTATGCTTACTGAAATGTCAGGGTTTACATGATGTAGCACCATGAAAAGTGTTTCTTCCTTTTTCTCTAAGAAACTTAGATCTGAATGGAAAATAATTATTGGTCCCTCCTGGTCACACTGCTGACCGAGTAAACATATAATTTCAAAGTTTCCTTGCATGCGTAATCATCTTCTGATGCTTTCAGTGTCTTCATATTATTTTGTACTGTGTTATGTTGGTAAGGTATTTTATAAGCTAAGTCCATCTGTCCTTGTTTGGGCTTCATATCTTCTCGTTGACTTCTGTTCAATTTTTTGGAGTCTCATCTTTTTTTATTTTCTCATTCTATCCTGCTGTGTTATTGCAATTTGCATCCCTTTCCTTTCTGTTTGCTCACTTGAATGTGCTTGGTACATTGGCAGGCTCATGATGCTCAGAATATTCATCTTCAGTGGCAAAGCCATGTTTTTTAATATTGCAGTTCATATTCTACAATATTACAATTCAAAGGGATTTAACTGCTCCCCCCCCCCCATTTCAATGTCTTTCAGGAATTAAATTTAGCAGAAGCTGTTGTGAATAGGTTGCAGACTGTTGGTTTGAGGTTTTGTGGAGCAGCAGACCAGGCCCTTCCTCGGTTAAGGGGAGCTCTGCCAGCTGGTACAAAGCGCGTTTCTGCTTTGCTCATATAATAGCTAATCTAACTTTTACTTAGCTGTGATACAACTGCAGATAATCGTATCCGGAACGCACTTGATGAGCTATCAGACCTCTTTATCTATTTGAGGGTTTGGAAGATAGAGAACCATGTGTACATAAATGCTCTAATGCCACCAACTGAAAATTATCATAGGGATTTGTTTTTTCAGGTAAATCAGCTGCAGTCATACGTGTATACTAGTATAATATTTATATGCTCATACAGAGTACTTATTTACTACTGCTTGCTGGTCATAGTATCTTGTGTTTTGTCTCTGAGATAGTGACTATTAGCCCCTAATGCTTGCTGGTCATAGTATCTTGTGTTTTTGTCTCTGAGATAGTGACTATTAGCCTAGTGATTGTGTGGAATCTTTCATCATTCCAGATGATATATAGCTCAACCTAGATACATGCAGATTCCTTTTGGCCCAAGTATGATCGTACCATATTTTTTAGTTCAATTATGCTCCACATACTCTATGGTATCTCTTAGTTCCAAATTGGCTAGTTGAACTATCTATTCTGCAAGCTAATTCCAATGGCCTAATTGTGAAAAAGCATATAATCATTTTGGTGGAGAGGAGTTGTTAAAGGATATGTTGAGCTGCTCTAGGCCTCGCATAGCTCCTGACTCACTTTCTTCATTTGATTTCTCTATATCTACTTGATAACTATATGCATATATATTTTTTTTGGCTGATAGTTTTGATGACTAGTTGTTATTTCCTTGCCCAGATATATTTAACGAAGGAGAACAATCCTGGATCAGTTAATGAAGGCGCATTGCTTGCTGTTGGTGGTCGGTATGACTATTTGCTGCATCAAATGTGGGATAATGAATATGTATGTCATTCTCCTTATTTCTTCGCCTCTTTCTCATCTTTCCATTCAGTTCTGTGCATTTACTGATATCTATCATGTGCGGGTAGTTCAGCCATCTGTTTTTGATAAGACAACTTGATATCGCCAGTGTGACATAGATTATAGTTTTGAAGCATAATTCTGATGTGAAGTGTGCATTTTTGTTAATGTTTCTGTCTTCTTTTATTCAGAGAGCAAGTCCTCCTGGTGCTGTTGGCACCAGCCTTGCATTAGAGACAATTATTCAGTATTCTCCTGGAGAGTTCAAGCCTATTAGGTGCAGTTTCCTTCATTTGCTCCTCTTTTTCTTTCCAATCTACTGTTTTAGTATTTAACTATATTCGCAAGAGTGGATATTGTCTTGCCATTTGTTGCTGCAGAAATGAAGCTGCCACCGCTGTTCTTGTTTGTTCAAGAGGAGGGGGAGGTTTATTGGTTGAGCGCATGGAATTAGTTTCTGAATTATGGGAAGAGAATATTAAGGTTGAAAATTAAATACCGTGCTTGTTCAACTTTCTTAGTTGCACTGTACTAATTGGTTTGTTCGTGCTTGTTCAACTGTCTTAGTTGCACTGTACTAATTGGTTTGTTTGTCTATGATCACCAGGCTGAGTTTGTCCCACAACCTGATCCAAGCCTTACAGAGCAGTATGAATATGCAAGTGAGCATGATATAAGATGCCTTGTCATCATAACAGATGCAGGGGTATCACGAACAGATGTTGTCAAGGTAATAATGATCAAAACCTGTTCTGAACTTTGCTGCATTTTATATGGGGGAATGCTCTAATACTGCAACGTTCCATATAAATTACTTGAACACTGTAAGATACGCATACCTCACCCTACCTTGGCTAGCATAAGCTGACCTTGACCAAAGTCTTTGGGGAAACCCTCAAGCGTTTTTTCTCCTTTCCTTTTCCAGTTTTGAGCTGTTTAAGTAATCTTGATGCAGTGAAGATGAACTGTTAATTCATGGACTGATATTTCCAGGTTCGTCATATCGAACTTAAGAGGGAGAAGGAGGTTGCAAGAGAGAAGCTTGTCAGGTTTCTGTTGGATGCAATGGCAACACTGTTTAGAAACCCCTCAGTTTGGAATTAGGCGCTCATCAAGGGCAATTTTTATCTAGTTTTTGTTAGCTGTTTTCTGATCCATCACAACTTTCTAAGAATTGAGAAAGATTCAAGATGCTGGAGATCAACTTCCAAATATCCCGAGAGAAAGATCATGAAGTTTATCTTACACAACACAACAGAATTTACATTTAGTACATAACAGACAAATTTTTCTTCTTCAACAATCTGCTCTGGAGAAAGTTTTGCAGATGTAGATTTTTCTTACTCGAGCACTTCAATAGTGACAATTTTGAAGTTTCATAATCAAAAGATCGATGTACATTATAAATATGTAAATATATGTGATATTCCAACATAGTAATTCCTCTTGGAGTAGGAACTAGGAAGGCATCAACAAGCATTGTGAATGCACAAGAAATACTTGATATGTAAAGTAAAAGATAATTGATTTATGAAAATATGAGAAAGCAAAGAGGCACATGTTTATGTCTAGTTATTAAATCTAGTCTAGCGGGTTAATCTAATAACCTTCAGACCCACGACGAGTTTCATTTCGAAATATCTTAGACATCGGCCCAGGAAGAGCTTATTCTTCCTGTTTTTCTAGAGTAGCAGGGAGAGCTTAAGATCAATGGTCAAGGATATCTAGTTCTCAACCGCGCAGTGCTTGGAAATCAAATCTATCAGTGGCTGCATGTTGAAAATATCAAAGCATATAGCGGGTTAATCTAATAACCTGCAGACCCACGACGAGTTTCATTTTGAAATATTTTAGACATCGGCCCAGGAAAGACTTATTCTTCCTGTTTTTCTAGAGTAGCAGGGAGAGCTTAAGATCAATGGTCAAGGATATCTAGTTCTCAACCGCGCAGTGCTTGGAAATCAAATCTATCAGTGGCTGCATGTTGAAAATATCAAAGCATATGATCTGACTTTTGATCCATGCATTAAAGCAGTACTGTACTGAGTATGATCTTCGTAACTCATTTACCTGTATTTCCTGTAATCTTTCGGTGACACTTCGGAAATACAGGTAAATGAGTTACGAAGATCATACTGAGAAAAGATTCATCTAGTTTTTTCTTTACCTAACTTTTCTTCTAAGCTGAAGAATCACTTAGCATTATTTGGTAGAGGGATTAAATAGGAACTAAATTGTTTACTATGTTAAACAGACTTCTACCTTCTTAACTTCTGGGTTGCCATAGCAACCGCTTCCCTAGTGGCCACTGCCATCATAGTCGTAATTTTCCTTGTTGCCACCACCAGGTCCACCACGCATGGTTGATGTGATCTCAACTGGGTCAATAACATGCTGCTATTACAAAACTTCCATGGCCAGCCGCCAGAGTTTATATCATTAAATGCATTACTATAAATCAACATCTGCATTTTTGACCTTTAATTAGACGCCGCCCGGTGGCCGCTTCCTTTTATTATGATGATTATTACCCGACAAGCCCCTATAGCTCAGTGGTAGAGCGTCAGTCTTGTAAACTGAAGGTCCGTAGTTCGATCCTGCGTGGGGGCATTTTAAGTTTATATATATTCATAGATTCTTTCATTTCACCATCCAACGTCAACAATAAGAATTAACAAAAAAAAACTATTTTTTTTAAATAATTAATTTAAGTTGACATAATAACTCAAACTCTTTTTCAAGTCAGTTTTCAAACCCAATGTAACAATTATATCTTTATGATCCGGTCAATATCAAATTAATAATTAAAAAAATAAAAAAAAAAAGAAAATTAATAATAAAAAATTTAAAAAAAAAAGAGAGAGGAAATGTGAGGTTATCAAAACTGAAAATGAAAGGAAATGTGAGGTTATCAAAACTGAAAATCAAAGCAGGCAAAAAGACTTGCAACAAGGTTCCAACTAGAAAAGTTTGGTACAAAACTAAAGCAGACGAATGGAAATCGTGGGTCCAAATTTATGAACAACCTCATTGCTGTTGTTGTGTTAAGCATTGCATAACTTTTATGATTATGATTTCAAAAATAAATTAAAAAAAAACTATAAATTTATATTTTTTTTTCTTAAATAAATTTATAATTGATTATCAAACACTTTTAAATATCTTTTAAATCTATGGGTGTGATAGGATGTAGTAGTGCTCATGATAGCACTACTGTTACAGATGTTAAACTCTTCATTCAACAAGAACAAATCACACCCAAGAACTCAAAATGTTTCAGAAGTTATGCTGCAAGAACAATCTTTCTTGAGGCGAAGCAGGTCCAATCTCTTCCTCCAAACTCCTCAGCGCATCCCCTGCATTTGCAACATAGCCTAAATTTCTTGCTGAGGATTTACCATCGACATCTGCATCCGAGGCTGATGACTTTCTCCCTTGGGAGGAAGTAACGCTTGGAAAAGTTATCCATGAAGGTGCACGAAACTCGATCCTTTGGTCTTCGCCTTCGACGACATCAGTTTCTGAGACTGCTGATTGGTTTGAAGATCTCTGTGAGGATTTCTTGTGCATTCTACTGCTTCCAAGAATAACTTCGGTCGGCAATATTGGTTGGTCATTGCATGGGCTGCCCATCAACTGTGCAAGGGCACGTTCTAAAGCTGTTGTTACTTTATCCATGGATGGCCTTTCCTTCCCCCTCATTCTAACACACTTGCAAGCTACATTTGCAATCCTTTTCAAAGCTTCGGGATCGGATGGAGGCTTCAACGCTGGGTCCAATATGGCTGATATATCTCCTGCTTTGATCAGAGGAACTGCCCATTCAACTATATTTCCTTCTTCGTATTGCATATCTATGGCCTTTCTGCTACTGAGGATTTCTAAAAGCAACACGCCAAAGCTATAAACATCGGATTTGGTTGTGAGGTAATGAAGCCTGTAGTACTCAGGATCAAGATAGCCAAGAGTTCCTGCAGGAAGCTCAGCCAACGGCGAACTACTATCAGCTGGTCCCAACAAAGAAAGGCCAAAATCAGACACCCTGGCATTGTGTTCTTCATCAATGAGAATGTTTGAAGATTTGATGTCTCGATGAATTACAGGTGGACAAGCATAACCATGCAAGTATTCGATTCCCCTAGCTGCTTGGACTGCAATGGTAACCCTTCGAACCCAATCCAATTGCTCTATTAAGGCAGGGTTCTTCCCATGAAGATGCTGGTGCAAGGATCCATGAGCCATGAATTCGTAAACCAGAAGCCTTTCTCCACCCTCTTCACAATAGCCAAGCAGGTTGAGTAAATGAGCATGGTTTAACCTTGATAGCAGATCAAGCTCATTGTGGAATTCTTTGGAGTTTTTCTGCTTATCAGAACACACAATAGCCTTTTTAACCGCAACAACTGTCCCATTCTTTAACACCCCCTTATAAACACATGAGAAACTTCCCTTTCCCACTATGGATTCTTCCTTGAATCCGCTGGTGGCCCCCTCAAGTTCCTCATAAGTGAACATCCTTGCCCTCCTTAACTTAATCTCATCCATGTCAGGACGGATCTTCCCGTTATCTTTAGAAACTGAAGTACCGCCGCTGTTGTTTTTCTTGGGCTTCAATTGTTTTGCCGAGCATTGACAGTTCCTCAGCCTATAGCGAATATACAAAATAGCAGATGTTGTTACAACAATCACCAAGAACACAGCAAGGCCAATCTCTGCAATAACAAATGGCAATTCCAATGACCAAAACCTTTTCTTTCCTTTAGCATTATTGGAATATAAAGAAGTACAGTTTGAGAAGCATTCTGCTGAATAGCATCTTGAACAGTTATAATCACACTGAAGATCTGATTTCAAAGTACATTCCATTTTCTGGTACATTTCAGCAGGGCAACCATTACTACAAGGCAAACAAACATGAGAGTCTGGAGACTTGCAAGGTGAATTAGCATTGAAAAATTCATAGGAACCAGGAGGACAAGGAGTAGTTTCACAGAGTCCAGGCGAAACAGCTAGGGGAAGAGAGCTAGGGAACTCAAGACCCCAACAAACAGGTAAGAGGGATTTCTCGGCAAGAATTCCACAAGTGAAGTAGTTTCCCGCAGCGATTTCATAGACCTTAATGGCAGTCGGGGTTGGAGTGCTTCGCTTTAAAATATAGCCCCAACAAATCACCTCGCGGTCATAGCTCTTGATTCCACAAGCATGGAACTTTCCTCCCACGACAGACAACATAGGATCACTAGGAGGAAAATCAACATTTCCTTGGTTCAAATATGCTGCTGATATGACAGAAATCTCTTCTTCAAGGCCCAAGCTCCTTCCCCAACAGAAGGCTCTTGAATTCACCCCCTCTAGAATCCCACAAACATGATAGCCACCAGCGGCAATCTTTTGAAACCTCATTTCTTGAGGAATCAAGCTGATTACAAGACTATTAGCCTCATCACCCCAACAGAAAACAGTCCTATTCTCCGAAAACAATCCACAATTGAACTCAGAACCAGCTGAGATTGATTGAATCTGCCCATCAAACACATGGTTCGTTGTCATGTTGTAACCCCAACAGTCAACAAGAGAGAGGTTTCTACGCCTGCCTGTTAAAGGCTTTCTCAAACCACATAAATGGTAATCGCCCGCACTGATTTCTACATACTCGGCCTCTTCCATCATAGGCTGAGGCACACCTGGTCGAAGATAGCCACTACTTCCCCAACAATACGGTCGGTTAGATTCCAACAGTAGCCCGCAAACAAAGCCATCTCCAGCAGTTAGACCAATAAAAGGGAAATGAGCTGGAGTTCCATAGATTATAGCTGAATTTGAACCATAACAATTCACAAGATGAGACCCATCTGATTTTATACCACAAAAGGCAGGACCTTTCTCACCATAAGAAATGGCAATGGAAGACATGGAGCCTAAACCTGAGACTAGCCACCATAAATCTGATAGAACCACAAATTGAACCAAATATCCACCATTCCATTTGCCAATCATCAAGACCCTGACAAAAAAATCTCTAACAGAATAGCTCAAATTCCCCATCAAACAAGCCAAACCCCAAGATACAAAGATATGAAATGGCACCTAATTTATGTTTTGATGGTTAACCAACTGCACTATAGGTACACGAGGAATTCACCTTGATTATGACTTGCATGTTGGCCTCTTAAAACATGATGTGAAATTCTGAAATCTGTCGGTATTCAACAGTAACCAGCACGAAGTGAAAAAACCTATCAAGAACGACACCTAAACACCATATTTTGCATCCAAAGACCACACAACACGCAACCCTCATCCGTAAGCAACAAAGGAGGAAAAAATGTGACGAACATTGCAAACATACTTGAAGCTATTGATGTTCAACCAAAACCCAGATTAAAAAACTTACTATCTTGAAACAAGACGCTCTACAAACTACAATCTCATAAACACAACACCTCATACGGAAAATTCAAGAACTTGAGCAGCTTTTGATCTTTGCGCATTCCTGCTTCAAAAAATAACTTACCCTTTAACTGGAAGACAGACTCTTGCATGTTTCGGATCAACAAACTTGCATTAGATCACATTTAGAGCCAACACTCAGCTTCTATCAAGTATAACTTCAACCCCGCCTTATTTTAGTTTTTTTTATAAAAAAAGTCTCTCTTTTGCATGTGGCCTCTTGAAAAAAGTTAGTAATGCTTGAAGAGAAAACTTTAAGTGGGGTATGTCTGTTGATGGTGGCAGCAGGAGTGTTGTTGTTTCAGGCAGGGAGGGGGGGGGGTGTGGGGGGGTAATAAAAGGGGGAGTCATAAATGTCCATAAAACTGTAGCATCTCCATATGGGCAGGTGTAGGTGAAGACAATAAATGAAGCATTTAATGCTAATTGATCCTTTTCATGCCTTGTTCACTGCACTCTTACAGTTCTTTCAAGCTTTCCTTTTCTTTCTTAGCCCTTTTTCACTCTTTCTAGCTTCTCGAGTGAATCTGTCATTTGTTTGTTCTCATGCATGACTTTGGCCTGCCATAAATAATACCGAGTTGCAAAATTTGTTTGTCTTGACATGTAAGGAGAGGATTCACTGTAATTAGCATCCTCCAAAAGAATTTCCATAAATGCTATTAATGGCTGCTTAAACTCTTGTTTTTTTTTTTTTTCTTGATGACTAGTTTCATTAGGGGTGACGTTGATAATTCACAGCTGAAGTTTCAAGTTCATATATATTCCATATGCTTACCATGATAGAGTGGGCGAAATAATTAAATTTCTTATTGTATAGCAATAAAGTTGATGAAAACTAAGTTTAGAAAAAGTTGGTCGAAAAAGTCCCATTACTGACTATCATTGATAATCCCGGCCCCTGCAGTGACCTGAGAGTCTAAGACCAGGAGTCTTGTTCAACCTGTATTTGTAGTTGAGTCCGTTTAGATCTTAATTCTATAAAATTTGGTAGATCTAATTTAATTTTTAATAATTTAATTGGCCAACTTAGTCAATTGTTTTACAAAAAATGGTAGGCTTAATGATTTGGAAATTGACTCGATAACTAGATTATATTTTTTAGATTATTTTTTAGATTGGATATGACATTTTTATTGTGTTTCAAATTATAATAAATAATATTTTTTATTTGAAAATATATTAAAATAATATTTTTTTAATATTAAAAAATACTAAAAATAATATTGTTTATAGTTAGTTTGTTATCTAAAATTTGTATAATTAAAATTTTAAAATATGATTTGATTGATTAGTGAATATACCTTTTATTTTATTATTAATTACACTTAATTTTCTGATATATTTTTATCGAATTAAGATGATTTTAGTTTCAGTACACTTAAATTATTTGAAAACATGGTTACAAGAAGAGTTAACTCTTCAATCTAGATATGAACCTTGGTTTATTATTATTTTTTCAATAAAATATTATTTTAAATAATAAAATAGAACCAAAATGACTTTGTATTTATTATAAAAAACATGTTGACCGAGTCTTATTCAAGTACTAAATTACATGATAACCCATTAAATTACTTAGATTTGACTACATCAACTTCCAAACAATTCAATATAAAACCCTAAAAAGAGTAAAGTAGATAGGCATCAGATAAAGATAATCTAACTGTGCCAGATAACTATGTTTTCTTTATATATAAATCAAAATATTCGGGCTAATTTACATATATTATAATTAATTTTTAAACTTAATAAATATTTTATAAATCTAATAAATAGATAAAATATCACAAGAATAATAAACATACACAAAAAAAAAAATCAAACTCAAATACTAAATCAAGAAATTCCTCACCGAAACCACTTCAGAAACTCATGTGCAAATTAACTATGTTTGAAAGTACTCGGTGATGTTCAAATTAAATTAGCATATAAGACAAATCCATAATAACCAACCTAAAAATAAGTCCCGGTTTCAAGGGATACGCAAGTGGCGTAACATGGGGATTTGGCATGACAACATCAAATTAAGGTAGGGGGGCCAGCCAATTTTTGCAGTTCCATGAAGAAAAAAAAACAAGAACACCTAATAACTCGTGTCTTTGCTCTAATTCTTGTCTTATTTTGGTGGTTTAAGCTTTTCTGCTTTGATTTTGAGTTTGATGTCAAGGGTGATTCAAAGTTTCCACATGACAATTAAGGATTAAAATAAAAACCCATTTTCTATTAAAATACAAATCTTTTTTTTTTCCTTAGATTCATTAAAAGACAAACTTAGCCATGTTCAATTAAGTCTAAAATAAATAAATAAATATCTAAAAAAAAATAAAAGTTTAGCTCCAATTTTACCATGGTTACCTGATAGCTTAATACAAAACCTTGTTGATTCAAGATCCAAACCAAGTTGGTTTCACAATAAATAAGGGAAAGTCTTGATTTACCTGCAATCCAGTTAAAAATTACTTGGTTTTTTTCTTTTTTTCTTTTTAAATTTACATTATTTTTACCTTTTCACTTATTTTTTATATTAATTCATTAAATATATAAATCGAATCCGTAACTTAAACCTTATACTGGGTCAAACTAGGCCAAATTTTAATAAATGCTTCTCTTTTGTCTCCATGCTTCCTCTACTTTTGTGCATCTCAATATATTTCTCAAGCAGTCATGATTATTTCATATTAGAATATTCAATTTTGTTGGGTGGATCAAATAACATAAGCTATAATACAGCACACTTGAAGCCAATCCTAGTTGGCTGGGATATAATTTTGTTGGGTGGATCAAATAACTTAAGCAGCAAACTTGAAGCCAATCCTAGTTGGCTGGGATACCAGGAATCCGTGTGACCCCAAAAGAATAATGGACGTGAAGAATGAAGCAACCAAGAAATTGTATATCACAAAATAAAATCACCTCAAAGACTTGTGAAGTGCAGGAGCAATCAAATCATACCCAAATTTTGTTGGTATACATAGATATACCTTCCAGATCTTGATTTATCTCTTCATAGAACAAAGCACACAACTATTCTGTATTCTTTCAGCATCAATGAATTTAAGGGTTCAGTTATACGAGATAATTTATTTTGTTTTTGACTGTTTGAAAAAAAAATACAATTTCTTTTGTGATTTTTTGATATAAATATCAAAATCTCTTACTTTAATACTTTATTAGGAAATAAATGAAGTATTAATATAATAAAAACTCGATTTGTAAATATCCATTACTATCCCTACTTGTAATTGTTAAGACAAGCTTTCTACGTCGAGAAATCCAAGTGCAAGAATGAGTTATGTAGATCAACAAAATCACCATGAAAAAAACCCTCTTCATAAAGAGAGAATTGGAAAGTGAGAGCAACCATGGTTAATGGGTCTGTGCGCTTTGACTTAAGAATGTGAACTTGAGAGTTGTTAAATTGAATAACAGGTTATATATCCACCTTGAGCCCCACAAGTACATATTTAAATTAAAGCAGCAGGCAGTCCAAGAAAAAAGAAAGAAAACAGCACATGTTTACGATTTTAAAACAGATATACAGATCTATATGTCTTTTCTTTTTCATTGTTTGTTGGAATCTTTATAATTTTCTGCCATGAATCATTAATATGATAAAAAACGTAGTCAGTAGTCACACTAGCTAAGAAACTTCAGGTCATAATCTATATGTAGTCTTCATAAGTTCCCGTTTTTTGCCTTTTCTATTTTGATTCCTGTATATCAATATTTAAATGCAAGGAAGTAGAAATGTATAACTCCATGCATAAATAAAGTAGGTGCTGAACACAATTATGTACGTTTGTTTTGCAAAATATGTTAAAATAAAAATTTTAGTAAGTAATCACTTAAAAAATATAGAATGATGATGTATTATGGTGGTAGAAAAGTGAAAGTGATGATGGCGACAATAATTATAATATAATCGTTGTGATAATTGAAATATTTATATGATATTATAAATGAATTACTATATATGAAATATTTGATGTATAATCTTAGTTAATAAACTGATCATAAAATATTTTATGTTGTTTAGTGATCTAAAATATTTTACCAAAAATAAACATAGAAAAATTAGATAAAAAATATTTTTTTTGCAAAATAAACACACATATTAGTTAGTCTATAAAGTACCAGCCAATTCTCAATTAGATGTTTAAAATAACTTTTATTTAATTTGTCCTCTCACCAGCCACCCATTAGAAAATTAACTGCCTCCCCTCTTTTTTGTCTAAAACTTGTGTTATGTAATTTTTATTCGAAAATATTTCGGGTCATCTAACACTAAATCTCTCTCTAGATGATCTTAAATGTGAGACCTAACATTGACTTGGTATATTCATATAAATTTAATAAATTTCCATGAATACTAGCTCTAAGGTTTGGATCTAGAAAGTTAAAGAAAGAAGTGAGCCTTCTTAACCTGACTTTAAGTTGTATTTAGGCAATTAACAACATTGTTTTGAAGAGAACTTGATAAATTAAAAATTTGTGATGCTTTTAGCTAGGAGAATCAAATTGAACAATTTTGAAAGATGGGATACCTAATTGTCGATAGTTAGGGCGCAAACCTAGTAGCTTGTCGCAGAGCACGATGACGATAAACACGGACAACTGTCTCAATTAGTTTTTGGGGCTTGGAAGCTTAATTCCCGTATGTTTTGTACTCCATAGACAACCCTTTTTCCCCCTTGACAATTCATTATTAAAATATTTAGACAACATTTAATGACAATCTAAGGATCCGGTGGAACTGATTCTAATAGACAATAATTTTAGATAAGAGAAAGTCAAGTACTCAGAGGAGCTAACTTTCAACTTGAGAAATCTCAAAACTTTACCTTCGGTGAGCGTCATGTTTTTTATATAGCAAAGCCCATTGGATCTTCAGGGTAGCCCCAACCTGGAAAATCCAAGTTGAAAGTTCTACCTTCAAAACCCGTGCTTCAACTGGGAGCTCGAACAACCTGCCTTGACCAACTAGGTTTGCAAATGGTCATCATGCAGAAGAAGTAATATTCAAGCAGAATGATTTTTTCTCTCTCCAATAGTAAGTATCTTCCAGCCAATTTGCACGTTAACTAAAACGACCTTAAAAAATCACCTCCAATATTAGCTAGATGCATTCCCAATATTAGCTAGGTGCATTCTAAGAAATAAATTTAATTCGAATTCTGAAAGTCAAAAGAGGAAAAAACCCTTTTAACAAACAAAAAAAATCCCTTGAGATTGCAGAATGGTAATTGCAATATGGCAGAGTGTCTGGATGAAAATGGGGAGGGCTTTCAGCAGCTTACGCTACGTAAGTAGGAAGAGAAGGGAGTGGGGGCTGAATGAGTTAGAGGGCTTTCGTTGTTTTGTCTATCAGCAGCGAGTATTGTAACACTGCAACTGGTTTCAGTTCAAACAAAATAGTATTACTTGAACATGATCTGTGAATTATTGGCTATTATCTGGATATTCTGTGACTTTCTATTAGATGTTCCGCTTGCATCGGATCAATTCTTTGGTAGACGCAATGCACATGGACTTACAACACTTAAAAATCAAGGCAAAGAAGAATAATATTCCAAGAATATTTTGTTTAAGAAATTCATAAATGAATCAGAAGTTAGAAAATTCCAAAAATATACAAATCCAAAAAAATATGGTACAGATAATTTATATAAAAAAACAACAATTTGATAATTACCGAATTACCATGTAATTCCGTAATCAGATTGCTTTTGTGACTGCTGTGTGGCAGAAGAAAAATTATAAGGCTTTAACTACCTTGAAGAATGCGCTGTAGTTTTCTTTCGTGTATGAACTGATCTCCAAAAAATGTTGAATCTGCAACTCAATGAAAGTAAGATGGGCATTAAGACAGTCATAAAGTCAATTATCGCCATACATACCTGCATGTATGGATGGCATGCGTGTGTATTGAATGAATAAAGCCAAACATCATAGCCAGTTATTTTGCGTATATTATGACTCCCTTTTATAACTCTAAACGCGATTCTATCTAAAGACTGCTTAACAATAGTCAATTGAGACACGCATCATTTAAACATCACACAGAAAGCAAAGGGAGAGTCGGCATGTTTCACGCCTAAGGAAAGTAGTAGTTAAAAGGGTGTTGTACTTACCATAAACTGTACCCTAAATTTGGAAACAGCCAGACAATAATATCAATCCAATTGTTCTGATGCGGGCAGCATGTAGAACGTGAACTCACTGAAACAAAAAGAAAGAAAACAAGCAAGGATTCACAAACATGTCAAGGGAAATGAAAAGGTGAAAGGTTAGAACATAAGATGTGAAAACTAGCCGCTCTGGTGCCAATACAGGTCATTGTAGACCAGGTAGTCGTATGGCCTAAGTCATGATTACTTATCCACTTCAACAAGGTGTCCATCTGTGATAATTAGTAGTATGGCCAAAGTAATGCATTGAGAGAGTACCTTGGAGACTAGCCTCATGGATCTTCTAGGAAGGACTTTTCCAGCAGAACGCCTTGTGCTTCTCAAAATTATCGTGTCGCTTTTGCGACGGCCATTCTGACTCACTCTGTATATATGTGGCCTCTTTCTATGGAGTTCTTCACTTGTTTTGATAACACCAGACTTTAAAGAAGTCTTATCAAATGAGTCATCAACCTGCGAGCATCTGAAAGAGGCAGATTTGCATAAAATCAGATAACAGCATAAATAAAAAGAAGTAAATTAGAATTTACAAGAATAATAAATTACACTGAACTCTCCCTGCCATTGATAGCATTGCTCCATTCCTGCAAAAGGTAGAATGTGGTTCTAACTCATTAAGTTCACTAGGTATACTTGGCAGAAACCAAAAATAGATGTGGATATCTTACAACAAAAGTTTTGGAATCACATAAGATGAATTAGAATCTTGCATTTAAACAAACAAAAATGTTTCAACAAGCTTCCATATAGCAGTCAACTTATGGATTCCTTCTTTTGCATGCTGTTGCAGCGCATAAGATCAATGCATGATAGGGACAGGAAGATTTTTGCCCAACTTATACAAAGAGACCAGCCATGAGAGAGTTAAGAGTAGTGGATATACAAACTGTCTTCTGCTTAAAATTTGTGAATCTCACGATACAAATCAAGGATAATTGCTAACTGACAGTTCAAAACTTGCAGTTCTGTCAACAAAACAGAGGGAAATTTGCATCGCAGAACACATAAAACTACCTCTAATTCAGTTCCCCAAGCAACAAACACAAACAAAATTAAAGCAAAAACATGTCAGATAGAAGCAACAACAAATCATCTGAATCATGATCTCAGGGGCAAATGCTAATATTTAGCTGATATAGAGCACCCCATAATTAGATTACAATGAATGAACTGTCCAACAAAATAGTAGATGTGGACACCTCGTATAGCACAAGTCAGAACTAAAGCCATTCTACAGAATAGCTTTGGAACATTCACTGACATATTTGAATTAGTCAGAACTTAACCCAAGGATCATCTAAGATCATCAAAATCACAGGATAAGATATTGCAAAACTTTTTTATTTTGGTAGATAGAGGGGCTGCAAATCCATTTTGGTAGATAGAGTGACAACATTATTTTAGTTCAGATAATGGGGCAAGATGAAACTCTCACCCGTAAATTTTTGATAATTTGGAATAACTTCAGCCTAGTACATTGCCTCGTGATTTACCTTGGATCTCCATGGTCTAATACGAGGAAAATGGGAAGACATTCAGGACACAGGACATAGCCAGATGCCACACTTTAAAATCTAGATGTAGAAGTATAGAAAAGCCATGCAAATGCAACAAAGTATGTTTGAGTAAAGTAGAGGAGAAAAGGTATAACCTGCTCTTCGGAGCATGTGGGCATCTGGTTCTTGCAATGATCATTCTCACTTGAGTTGGCTAATCCATCTTGCTCAGATCCTCTATTGTGCTTTGAATCGTATGGATCCCAGAATTCGCCATTTTTATTGGGTAAACATGATGCATCTTTGTGATAATTCCCAGTTTCTGATAACTGCATCTCCATAAAGCACCCTGGAAACACAACACTAGCATTCTCCAGATTACAACTGTTCTGCTGGGTTGAATTCTCACAGGCTTCATCATCCCACTTTGAACTCTGATGCATCAATGCAATATGATCTAAGGAACCATTGGATATGGAGTTGACAGCAAAATTGCATGCTGTCTTTTCTAATGGAGTATCAGTAATATCTGAGTCAAAAGCAGCTATGCACTCCTTTTCGTTACAGGATTCAGTGTTCAAATTTTTGCGATTCTGCCCATCAGAACTGGGTTTGGCTGAGGCAAGTCCTGGATCCTCCTTTAAGTACAAGGAAACATCGACAGCTACACTGCATGGTATTACAGGTGATGAGATTAGGGAATTATAACCTCCATCTGGATGACCATTCCTTGCATGACTATTTTTTTCTCCAACTGAACTCGGAGAAGGTTCAGCTTGCACAGAGTCATCCCTATTTTTGCTAGAATCAGTATTCTGAAGTACAGAACTTTTCAGTTTTTTATTACTCTCTCCAATACACCCAAGCTCTTCATAAAGACTTCGAGACTTTGTATTAACCACGTTGTCACAAAATGAAACCTGATTTTTATATTTCTTAATCCACTCTAATGGGCTTGAATTCAAATCAACACAAAGTTTGATCCCCTCTTCTGAACTGACATGAAACTCAAAAGATGCCGGAACATTTGCACTAGTTGTAATAGAAGGAAAGGCAATCTCTTTAGAACAGGCTACAGTATTTATGTCTCTACCATGAAATTGGGGTGAATCTTCTACCCTGCCACCAAGGCTTAATGGCTTCTTAAAGTTGACATGACTCCCAGCGGATTGAGAAAAAAACTGAGATGGAGATAGCTCTTGGAAATTACTAATTAAGCTGCCAAAGCTTTCCTGTAGATACATAATGAAAATAAAATTAACAAGTAGGAGTTTGGAGGTTGCAGCACCTATAATGCGGATAAAAGGTATAAAAATCAACAGATTGCTTTAATATCACCCTCTAACAACTCTCGTGTTGACTAACACAAACAGCTTTTAAGACATTTTGAATCAATAAAAAAGGAGGTATATGCATCATGCATGGTCTATTTGGAAGCATTTCAATCATTCAAATCTTTAAACACATTCACCCAAAAACAAATACATCAATAAAAAGAAACAAACCTTATTATAAGCTCCAGGGCCAGCAAAACTTTTCAAATTATTGCATTTGAAATTTCTATTTCCTTTGTAAATCTCCTCTCCAGGACGAGATCTGAGTTCAAAGCTATCTGCAACAGACATAATGATCGATTTTCATCAGAATCTATACCAATTTGGTACAAAGACAATTTACAGCCAGGAAAATAACCCTAAAATCACAGAAATTAGAATCAGATTTTGGTGTTTGCAAAGGCACAGACCTTTTATAGAATTTAATGCAGGCTTAGGCTGCATTGGTGGCATCAAAGATGTGTGAAGTAAAGCATCTTGAACCCCATCTATGCTTGTGCCTGACGATACCAAATTCAAACCCTTCCTCTGCAAATATGTCAAACATCAGTTTTCAATGTACTTATTACAAGCAAATACATTTTAACTAATCTCAAAAGAAAAGTGGAACTCAAAACTTGTAAGGGAAAAGAGGAAAAATAAATAAATCAAACCCTCGTAGCCACTAGCATAACAAGCAAAACAATTCTAATACTTGTCTAATTTTCACAACAACCTCCTCAAGTACGTTTAAAACACACAGATAAGGTTGAAAGTAACAAAACAATTTTAACATATTAAAAAAAAAAAAGATAGCTTCTTCGAGAATGAACCACAATCAATCAAATCAATTCCAAATTTCATTATTTAACAAAAACTAGTGATTACTTCAAAGTTTCTCCTTGAAGAGCTCACAGAAATCAGCATACCAAGAATCCATAAAACACACCAATAATTTTGAATAATAACAAGACTACAAATTTGGCATGTAAAACACACGGATAAGTTCAAAAATCTTGGAAAGCATTTTCTAAGCATGCTAACAAAAAAAAATGATAACTTCTTCAAGAATGAAACAGATTCTACCAAAATGAACTTCCCTCGCACAAACAAAACTAGTAATTATTTCAAACTTTCTTCCTAAAGAATTCATATCAATTAGCACACCAAATATTCATAAAACACAAAAATAATCTCAACAACAACACTACAAAATTGACGCAGGACGTGTATCAAATGTCCAATCCCAAGAAGAAGTGAGGACGAGTCAAACAAGATCTCTCACAAAAACAGACATGACTTTTAATACAGCAATTGAATCTAGCTGAAATTTTGCAAGCGCGTTCTAAAAGCCAGTTCCCTATAGGATTGGCAGGCAAGGGCAAGCCGAGAGATCACAACGAAATTAGGCCCAAAAGATGTTTCAGAATTCTCATTACTTTCCTAATTATTTTTGTATTCCTTTCTGAGGTTTCAGAATTTTATTTGGTTTATGTTACATTAACCATGTCGGTTTTAGCTCCTATTTAATCAGTTTGTATGTTATTTAGAGTTAGGAATTATTTACAGTTTATAAGACCAGAGTTATCTCTACAGTTTAGAGCTATAATTTGAGAGCTTGTTTCTTTCTTTTGTTATACGCTGCATCAAAATTAGGCATGCAATTAATAGAAATTAAGTTAAGAAAAAGCACGCTGATAATTTAACCCCCAAAAAAAATAATTGCCTAATTTCCTAATTACATCCTCAACAACTACAGCAAATAATTAACAGAAATTGAAATTTTTCATTAAATTATTACCATAAAGTAAAAGGCGAGCGATTCGACCATTTCAGAGCTTGATTTTCTAGCAGGCAAGCTACATTGCTTACACAAACTTTGAAGTTCTTTTCTCGAAAGTTTGCGAAAATACTCCTTTCCCCCATCACCTTCCTTATTTAACATCTACAACTAGAAGAAAAAAAAAAGTCTCAATTACAAAATAATAAAATATTTTAACAAAATTACGAAGCTAAAGTGCTGAAACTAAGAAGAAATCACTCAAATGGAAATTTTAATTCAGAATAAAGAAGGAAAACAGCGCGAGCTGAAGTCTCTAAGCAGAGTATTTGAGTGACAAATTTACCTGATCGGAGATTTTCCGGGAAAGATGGCGAGAAAGTGAAGAAAAAATCGAGAGAAACTTCTTCTGTGTTGGCTTAGCTAGCTGAGATGCGGGAAGGCTGAAGAATCGGCTAATGCCGTGTTTCATGGGTTTTCTAAATCTTGTTTTTTTTTTTTAATTAATAATAAACCAATAAATCAAGGAAATATTATTTTTTTAGTGATTTTGGGTATTTTAGAAAATCCGAGAAACAATACTGCGTGTGCTAGAATACTTTAAATAATATGGACGGGGATTGTGATTGCGTGTGACCTTTCTCGGGATTGAGGAATGTAGTTCCGGCCAATAGAATTTGTGATTTTAAGAGACCACATGGTTGTTTCATGGGAGAGAGGAGTACCTGATTGTAATCTGGTTGAAGTTCAAAAAGAAATTGAGGCGCTGAGGTATATTGCTCGTCAGATTCAAACAAAAAGGCTTAAATTTTTGTAGGATTTGAAAGAAAAAGGAATATATTAAACCACTTTTTTTTCTTTCTTCTTCTTTAATTTCCCTTTTCTATAAAATAAAAACTCAGCACTCCATTTGTATATTTTTTGAAAAACCTAAAATTAACCGATAATTAATTTGAGATTTGATTAATTTTAATCTAAATTCATCAAGAATGAATAAAAAAAATAACAGATTTAATTAAAAATCTGAGTTAATTCGATGATTTAATTAATTCTTTGACTTTTAATTTTTTTAAATAATATTATTTTTACTTTTAAAATAAAAATATTTTCTTTGGGGAGTTAACCCTAATTACATTTTAAAATCATGCGTGTATGTAGCCTTAAATAATAAATTTGATGGTTGTTCTCTTCTTGTTGTTGGACAATTATTTTAGAAAGAAAAGGACCAAGTTTTAAAGCTTTTCATCAAACAATGTTAATATGAAAAATAAAATTATTATTTTAAAAAATAATCTAATTAAAAATTTTAATTATTTAAAGGGGATGGGGATTTAGAAAAAAAAACATAAACTCCGAATGGAGTTAAAAAAAAAAAAAACTAACATACAATCAGTAAATTGAAGCTTTTACGAGGGACATTTTGTTGACAATACAATATTTTTATTATTATAATATCAAACATTATTTTTTACAATACAATACACCGCAGTAAATACATTGTTTTTTATGTTTTTATTGGTGAAACATGAAGGCGATCATTATTAGATTACGTAACATCAAACGGGCACTAAATATTCTGTGGGCTGCGACAAGCGAATGGTTTCTTTGTTTGGTTGTTTTTATATATATATATATATATAATGGTATGTTTATTTGTTAAAAAAATTTAAATTTTTTATTTTGTTTTTAATTAGTATTTTTTGATATTTTTATATTATTTTAATATATTGATGTGAAAAATATTTAAAAAAAAATATTAATTTAATATATTTTTAAAAAAAAACACTTTAAAAAGTAACTGTTATTACACTCTCAAATATCATAAGATAATAATAATTATTATTATTATTTATTTTAATATTTTTGGATACTATAACTAATTAATACTAATTAATAATAGGATAAATATGCAAGAAACCTAAAAAAAATGTTGTGGCTGTTAATTAATATCTATGTCAGTTTTAAATGATAGCAATTCATGTTAAATGGATATGAAAGGCTTAAATTTAATAATGTGTGTTAGAAAGTGATATAAATTATATTTTAGAATTTTATCTAATAATTTAAGTTATTGAATTGAGTTTTAATATAATATTGGAGTTTTGATAACTAAACATTCATGAATTCAAATTTTACAATCTTTATTTACTTGATAAAAATAAAACACATGGTAATATAAATATATTCAAGTTTGAAGTCTAGAAAACTTTTCATATGAGAAATATGCTAAAAAATAATATAAATTATATATTAAAACCTCACTTGATAGTTTAAATTATTAAATTGAAATGATTCTTTGACATGATAAAGATGATTTATACCATCAATCTAGTATTGGATTAGTAGGATGAAGATTTCATACCTTACCATTCAACTTGAATTGTATTATGATGGATGATGCTTGATGATTTCTTGTTACAGTTATTAATTGTGTTTGTAGCAGGATCTTACAATGCTTAATGGTTTGTTGTTGTTATCATAGTTATTTAATTTGTTTCGGTTTAATGGGTTGATTTAATAACTAAGTGATATAAAATTTAATCCAAACAAAGTTTCATTTTTAATTTTTTTTTACATAATCAAATTTATATAATTCTATAACTTGACTTAACTTGACTTATAATCTAATTGATTTGAATAAATTTAGTTCAAACTTCATCGAGTCAAAACCAAAATATTAAAAGAAAAACTTTAATAACTATCATTTAAACAAAAATAACAGACTTGGTTGACCCAATGACCTACGAGTTGACCAACAGGCCAATAACTTTTGTATTAAATTGAGTCAGATGTTAGAGCAATTATAATAATTATAATTACAACAATGTTAATTATGTAATTGATGTTGTTTGCCTTTTCTTTTACTTTATTTTAATGAATCTATGTCATTTCTGCATATGATTGAACTCTTAGGGGTTGAAGAGAGAAAAATATAGAGTTGTTGACAAAATTTCTAATGATATATGATATCATTTTATTTTTGAGAAAATAAAAATATTTTTTAGAATATATGAATTTAAGTTGATTCTCACAACTCAAATTATTAGATATGTATTGAAAAATAGATCTATAAAGGATAATAAGAGAAAAGGCTCTTTTTATTGATGAAAGAGACTGTGGTATTAGTAGTTTTTCAAATTATTTTTTTATTTAAAAATATATTAAAGTAATTTTTTTATTTTTAAAAATTATTTTTGACATCAACACATTAAAATAATTTAAAAATATAAAAAAGTATTAGTTTGAATAAAAAATATAAAAATAAATTAAAAAACATTTCTAAAACAAAAAAATAAAAATACCAAAAACTTGAAAGATCGGAAAGGAGGGCGTTGGTTTGCATCTTGAAATGGGTGGGAAGAATGGATGGTGTCTCCGAGTGGATAATTGCATTGCGAGAACTCGAAAGATCGTAATAATTGTATTGAAAGTCCTGAGGTTTAGTTTGGATGGGCTGATCCAAAATAATGGAGCCCATTATAACCGGTTTCAAAGTTTGTTGGTGACATGCTGCATAAAAAGTCTTGGTCATTACAGCAATGTCATCCTCCCACTTGTATTTATCATATATGGAGAAGGAAACATTATATATATATATATATTCACATATATTTAGAGAGTATTTGTTTACTGACGCATCTTTGTTAGGTTGAAAACTTTGATTGAGATAAAACTGTCTTTATGAATAAACTATGTTTCAAATGGTTTTTCATTAAAGTTTTATTATTTTTTTTATTAAAATAATTATTTTTATGTTTTTGAATTGTTTTAATGTGCTGAAATTAAAAGTAATTTTTTAAAAAATAAAAAATATTATTTTAATGTATATTCAAGTAAAAAACACTTTAAAAAATAACCATCAACACACTCTCAAACACTATCTAAATAAACACAGCCTTAAACGTTATTGGGGGTTGCGGTGTAACTCATGTTTTATGATTTTTTTTAAAATTATTTTTTTATATTTTAAAATTTTTTTAATGTGATAATATTAAAATTATTTTTTAAAAAATATTACTTTAATATATTTTTAAATGAAGTAACTGTCACCCTACTTCCAAACTTCTCACTTGCATCCTTATTAGAGTTAAAATTTATAATGTATTTGATATTGTGTTTTATAAATAACTGTTACCCTACTTCTAAACTTCTCTCTTGCATCCTTGTTAGAGTTGAAATTTATAGTGTATTTGATATTGTGTTTTAGAAGCGTTTTTAAAAGAAATTTAATTTTAATGTTTTTTACGATAAATTAATATTTTTTAAATATTTTTAAATTATTTTAATATACTAATATTAAAAATATTATTTTAAAATAAAAATATTTTTTAAAATAACCACTTTGATACTCTTAAACACAATATTAGAATGGCTCCGAACCTGCAATTTCTAAAATGGATGAATCTTTTCCTCACAATCTTGTAACTCTGCAGCTTTCGATGCCCTATCTTACCACTTGTTAGGCTCCTTATGGCATGTCTTGTGCTGTCTTGACATGACCCTTCACCATCTGGTGCATGCGAGGTTTCATCTTGCTGCATTTTCTTTTATCGGTCACTTCTGAGTTATCGGTCAAAAGAGAGCATGGAAGCTAGCTGGAGGTTGACATTTTTCTCCCCTCTTTGATGCGTGGGAGCACGATTGAGTGGAGAGCAACGGCGAGAAAAGCTGTGGACTTTTTTTCTATGTTAATGGGGGGGAGTGAAGCCGGCCAGCTCATTAAGAGATGGAGACAGATATGTCTCCAATGTCTATGGCTACTTGCCATTAAAATTCTTACAATCACTACAGTTGTCCCTTCTCTCTGGAGCATCTTAGTAGCTTAGTCAACCACTCTATGTTAATGATCAGATTCTAAATTGATCGGGAAACGACAGGATCTAATCACAAGTTGCACACATGACGACACCACTCCAGTCTTAATTTTACATTATATTTTGTTAATCCAGTAACATTATTTTCTAAAGTAGTTTTTATTTTTAATGTTATTATACCAGAACTATTTAAAAACACTGAAGACAAATTAATTGAAAATAAATAAAAAAATTAATTAAAAAAAACTTTTAAAATAGACAAAAAAAAACAATAATTTAAACAAGCAAACCCTTTTCTTGGGTTGAACTCAAGGGCAAGTTTCAGATCTTGACATCGAAAATTATGGGAAATGACACGTGAATTTATTGATAATATCCATGTTTCCAGTTCATCTTGCTTGCTTAATGTCGAACAAGTTATGCTCTTCCTAGCTACACGACAGATAATAAATGCCCATAATGCATTTTTAGTCAACAACTCAAAGGTTACTGGCTAGCGATATAATGAATATATAAATAAATAAAAATTCAGTTGGGGGGGGATTAGAAAAATCTTTCTAGAGGGACTAAAATATAAATTTTACTAGTTCCAAGGTTGAAACTATAAATTGTTCAAAACAAAAGGCTGGAGAAAATAATTGTGCACAGGCCGGGGTCCCTGCCAGCCCCCGTCTCTGGCACTGTCTCCACCCTCAGAGTTGAAGGGC